TAATTATCTATTTTAGAATTGTTGTTTGTTTGTCCATGCATGATTAATGTTTTCTATATGTTTTTCACTGTTTTGTCATGTTATGTAAGATTAATTTGTTGAACTATGTATGTTTGTAGTGTTTCCTTTCATTTTGCTTTACTATTATTGATTTATTTTCTTTTCATATATATTTCTTACTATTTCATTTAGAGGCTTACAATTTGAAAATAGCTTTTGAACGGGTACACTGTTTTCTGAAATATTTTAATTTATCCTACTGCAATCCCTTCCAATGTTAAGTTCATGATGGTATGTTTTGAAATTACTTAATTTTTGAAACCTTGGTTTTTTAATATAGTTTAAACATTATTTCTCTTATTAGGTTTATTAAAACTTATTCCAATCCATATTCCCCTTATATGAAGTGGAAAGTGCCGATTCGCTTGCCAAGTTGCTCCTCTAAGCTTGTTTGATTTCGTTCGTGGACTTGTAGGAGAGTTTGAGTGCAGTTATATGTCTGCACTCTAATACATCATGATTTCATAATGAAAGAAGTGGCTTGATATCATGTTGCATATATATATTTTGTCAGCCATGTTCTTGGCCTCAAGTGTATTTAAAACATTAAATATTTTGTAAAAAATAAATTTTTTTTCGTTGTACATATATATATTTTCATACACATATATTTGTTCTGTTATCAAACAGTTTTACCTCATCGAGTATCGGGATGTTGTAGGTTTTCCTCCAATTCTGACTATCGGATCACATGAAAGTGATCCGAGCCCTTGAACTTATTTGGGTGGTCGACCTTATGACATCCCAAGTGTCAATTAAGTCAAATATGTGTCAAATACAGATTCACAATAATGAATGCATGATAGTATTCATGCAGCAGAATCAAACCTTAACAAATTCCTTACATATATGTTTCAAATGCATACATCACTAAGGCCAGAAGATGCTACAAAATACAAAGCATAAGAGCCACTTATTTTACTAGGCTATTGGAATTCATCAGAGTGCGAAAACAAAAATGCACTCAGACTTGTGGATCCACGGGATCCTCATAGACTTCCAAGGGTAGGTCTGCCTGCAGTTTCTCATTTTCTTCCTTATCTAGGGAGGATAGAAAGAGTGAGTTCCATATACTTAGTAAGAAAAATAATATTAAATTAACATCACAAGATTTTAAAATTTTATTATTTTTCTTACCGTTCAGCTTCCTTGTTTACCAAACTCATCATTAAGAAAAATATTTA